TTCAGAGTACGGCCCATTGAGCCAACGGACTGCCAGCGAAGCCATTTGCTACCCAAGATATGAGATTTGGGACACGAAATAAGGCACACCCAAGGCTATATTTGGGACCGAGGATCAAGGCCTGAGCCATGCCTGCCGGCCCCGTGTTTGCTTTTAGTTTTTGGGGCTTTGTCTCTTCCTTGCAAGCAGATCACAGAGATCAGGTAGACTATGGGTAATGGACTGTGGATTGTGCTCGAAACAATGTACATGCTCGTACATGAGGCGGTTCGAGACATCGAAATGACGTGTTGATCCGGTCCGCACGGTCTCGACGTTGGATACTGAGAAAGCTTGGACGATGGCAATCCGCGATATGCAGGAAAAGAAAGTACCTCGTAGACTGACTTGTTGGATGCTCACTGCAGACTTACTGCATACGTTGTGCAGCAGAAACCTTGCCAATAGCGGACAGCGCAAACAGCAAGTGGCTTGCTTTGAGTAGGGCGTGCATGGAACGGTGCATTGAAGAGGTGCAGACGGATCCGCTTCCGAACGGAGGTCTCCGGTGAGCAAGGCCAGACCGTCTGTTTGAGGGGTGTGCTCATCTCCTGCGGTTGAACGAGTCTTGTCGTGCTCAGCGTCGTAGGGAGGAGAAGAAAATGGATATTGTAGACTGAGATTCTGCCAGGTTGAACAGGATGCATCGTTTGTTGTCGGCATCGACAGTGTGCATCACGATCGAAGGCTGTTTCTGTAAAAAAACCGATTGTCGGATAAGACAAACACCGCTCCTGTGTATCGGCGCCCTTGTTCTCAAATACTGTACTTACAATGCAGTCATATATTCCTCAAACCCCCAGAGTACCAAGGACTGAAGCTCGCACGGATTGAATGTGACCCAAGAGCTCTAGGTAAAATAGACGAGACCTGCCTGATTAGGAACGGCCAGTGCCGCGGGCCTATCATAGCGCTCAGAGATATGGGATAACTCCCGTAAGGCTGTGACTCAATGAGCGAATCTCTCATAATGGAAAAATATGCAGTGATGATACCTAAGGAAGACTTTGTGCTTCAATTGCGATATACACCTCAATATCGACAGTCGACAGGGTACAGGACTATTTTGCGTGATATGAATGGGCCAGAAACAAACTCTTGGAGCGGGAACTCGGTCTTCGGCTTGCAGATCAATACACCAAAATCGACAGTCTTCGCATCAGCCCCAATACTATCACGCAGTACCAACTCGCATATACAATGGACGACATTGTCATTCGCGCAGCCCGCGAGGCTGACATGCCCCAGATCGAGCGTATCATCCGACACTACATCCTGACTACGGTGAGGGCGCCAGCGTAAAACAAAACAAAAACAAAAACACAAAACACAAAACAAAACAAAGTAGAAAGAAAATTGACACCCCCAGGTCCTCACGTTCCACGAGGAACCACAACCCCAGGAGAGCCACGTCGCCTCCTACCGCGCCGTCCAGGCCGCCGGCCTGCCGTACCTGGTCGCTGTCCGTGCCGACGACCACGATGCCGTCGTCGGCTACACGTCGGCCATGGGCTTTCGCGCGGCGCGCTCCGCCTACCGCTTCACGTCCGAGCTGACCCTGTTCTGCGACCACAGCTACACGGGGCGCGGCATCGGGTCGCGCTTGCTCCGGGCGCTTCTCGACGTCCTCGCGGCGCCCGAGACGTTCCTGACCAGGTACGGCGGCCGCTACCCCGACGGCGTGCAGCCACGCAGAATCCGGCACTTGATTGCGGTTATGGCGGTCAACGACGAGGGCAAGCGGAACGGCATGGCGCTCAAGGAATTTTACGAAAGCTTCGGTTTTGTGCTGGTGAGTGTGTGGCGAGCCGGACGAGACGCTCTTCTTAGCATGCTGACGGGATACAGAGGAGTCACCTGGTTGGCGTGGGCTTCAAATTCAATAAATGGTACGTCTCACAACGCCTTGCCTTTCTTTACGAAGACCAGGGAGGCTAATCAGTAGTTACAGGATCGATACAATGGAGCTCCAGTACAGTTTGTATTGAGAACGGAGGCAGAAACGACGACAGGAGATGCACGACATACTTTGAAATTAAAACGTTTGACAAAGGCTTGTTGAACCTGTGCTATGTACATTATGTCTATCCCGCATTTGTACCGTCTTCTTTGTGCATGCTTGCCGACGGCCAAACCCGGCGACGTCTTTCGTGTGCGTAATGGACGGAGACTGTTTACAGCTCGTCCTTCTTGCGCTCACCGTCGGCAGGCTCCTTGCCCTTGCCCTTGTCCTTTTCCTTGGCGTCCTGTTCGTCCCGCTCCTTTTGTAGTTCAGCCTCGTGCTTGGCCGCCTCGACGGGCTCTTCCCACATGCGCTTCTTGGGGTTGGGCTGCACGGCCTCTTCCGCGGCAGAGCCGGCCTCGCCCGTCGGCGCAGCGCCCGCCTCTGCGGCCTCGTCGACCATACGGCCCACCTCGTCCACGAGCGAGTCCGATGCGGCGGCCCGCGCCGGGTCCCGCGCCGGGTCGGTTGCGTGCACCTCGGCCGCCACACTTGTCGTCGTCACGATGCTCGCGCTGACCATGCTTTCGCCCCTGCTCATTGCGGAAGAACCGGCACCGTGCTTGTTGCTGCCAACGCCCGCCACGGACGACCCTGCTCGGCCCACCAGCGCCGCCGTGCCAAACACCGTCCGCAGCGGCCACCAGAGGAGCAGCCACAGCGGGCCGTACAGCAGCCGCCGGAACAGCAGCCACCCCATCGTGGCCACCACCATGTAGAGCGCCGTCTGCAGGTACCACGTGTCGCTCTTGTGCGCGGCCACGAGGCCCTTGACGAGCGTGCGCGCCGACTTGAGCGACGCGCCAATGTCGCCGCCCCCGACCCCGCCGGGGCCCGTGCTGCCGCCGCTGCCGTACTTGTCGCCCAGCTCGGCGAGCGCGCGCGAGCTCTCGGCCAGTGTCTGGGCGGCAAAGTCGGAGCGGGCGACCTCGCCGGCGATACGGGCATGGGTCTGGCGGAGAGCGGCCGTGACGTCGGCCGCGGCCGAGGTGGTGGGGGAGGTGTGTTTCGACAGCGGGGGGCGCCGGGCGCGCGAATGCGAGCGATTGCGGTCGCCCTTTTGGTTGGCATGGGTATGCTCACCGGCATCCTCAACCTCGTCGTCGTTCCCCTCCACCTCGCTGTCCTCGTCGTCGTCCTCGTCCTCCTCCTCAATGTAGGACGCCAGGATCAAGCGGTGCTGCTGGTGCTGGGCAGCCTCGCGGTTGCGGTGGGCGGCGAGCTGGGCCGCACGGAATGCCTTGCGTGCGGTGGCCAGGCCCTCGCCGAGACGCATCACGCCCCGCTTCAGGTGCTGCTCATCCACCGCCGTCGTGTCGTCCCCGGCAAACGACGCGCTCATGCCGCCACTGCCGGCGCTGTGGGCGCTGGTCCCTCGCAGCGAGGCACGAAAGGGGCGCAGTGTGCGGTTGACGCCGGAGGCGGCGGGGGAGGGCGTCTCGGACGACTCGTCAAGGTCGGTCGCCGCGTGCGATGCGGGTTCCGCTGCAAGCACGCCCAGGTCGACGGCGTCTTCGCGGAGCAGGTCGAACTCGTCTTGGGCCTCGCGCAGCGTGTCGGCGATGTCATTGACAAGCTCGTCAGAAGCCTCCTTGTCGAGGTAGAGAAAGAGGTCGCCTGTTGGAGTGGGGTTTGTTGTGTCGTAGTCGTCGTTGTGGAAACTGCTGGTACTGCTCCTGCGTCTCTGCGCATCGCTGCTTCTGCCGGCGAGGCGGTCAATCATCTGCCTTAAGTCGACCAAAACATCTTGTCCTTTCGTCAGGCGATCGTGAAGCTCCTCGAGAGAGGCCATAGCTGATTATGTGGAGGTGCCGTAAATGTTGTTGATTGAGGAAATGTAGAATGCAACTTCCCTTACGAGGCGATTATTCGAAGTAGACGACGTCAGTGCTTTGGTCGCAACATCTGGCAGGAGCTATGGACCCACAAAAATAGGGAATGGTCACGTGCTATTTTGGTCTTCGTTTTTGGTGAGTTCTAATTGGCAACGGCCGTTTCGGCAGTCACGAAGCTACGTAAAATTTCAGCGGACGATCGAGATAGCAACCAAAGGCCAAGACAAGACGTTTCGAATTTACGACTCTACACCGCCCTCCCACCCACAATGCTCACCCGGTTCATCACAGAGGTGACGTCGCGGTTCAATCCGTTCTCGGTGCGGTCCAAGGCGGCGCGGCTGTTCCTGACGCAGCTGCCGCCGATGGCGCGCGAGCAAGGCATGCTCGTGACGACACAGCTGCTGCCGCGGTCGTCCACCGAGCCCAGCACGCTGACGGTCAAGTTCAGTACGTTGCAGCGACGTCCCGTTTTGTGTACGATACCATTTGCATACACGGCTAACAAACGGTCGCAGAGGACGGCAAGGTCATGAAGCTGGACTGCGAGGAGATGGGCATCAAGCGCGTGGTCGAGGAGGTGGACCGGCACTCGCGGGCGCTGCAGAAGGCGGCCGACCTTGCAGACGGCTAAACGAAAGCATGAGGGCGAATACCGAACGACTAAGGGTGGAAAAGAGAACATGCATTGGCCGGCGTTATTTTTCTTGCTTTACATTGGGACACACTTTTTTCTTCTTTTTTCGGGCGGCAGAAGCGACTGGAAGGCCCGAGGGCTTGTACGAGTACCATACTAGACACACCGTGTAGAAACAAACATCCCAGCCAAACCATAGGTTTACATAGCGTGATGCACACGTCTTTGATGTCATTGAATTCCTATGTCGATCTATTGTGTTGAACTTTTTTGTCCCATTCCCGCGGTTTTGGCACTCGAGAGACTCATTGATATTTTGGTATTTTTCCCATAGCACTGATATGTGCTGCAAATGATTTCCTTTTAACAGTGCAAATGTGTCTTTCAGCTTGGCTTTTTTCTTTCCGCCTATCACCTTTGCGAATGCGGATTCGGTGTTTAGCATTTAACACCGTCATCCTCTCTACAAACGAGACCCGGGGCGTAGTCACGCCGACGCGCCGCTGATGAAGAACCACTTGTCTATCGAGCTGTCAATCTTCTCGGCGGGCAGCTCCTGGTGCGCGGGGATGGCCGGCAGCTGGTCGGGGGTGACGCGGGCCGGCGACTGCGCAACCGTCAGGTTGGCAATCTGGACGCCGTTGGCCGGGGTCTTGCCGGTGACGAGGCGCTCCCAGGCATCGGCGCACTCGGCGACGACCTCGTGGGCGTAGGCCTTGTTCTTGCACTCGCCGGTGAAGGCGAACTGGTTCTCGGGCTTGCCGTCGGGGATCTTGTAGATGCGGAACCACTCGTTCGTGGCGCGCAGCAGACCGGGCAGGTGGCGCTCGACGTCCTCGATGTCGTTGAGGTTCTTGGCCAGCGGGTCGTTGACGTCAATGACAATGACCTTCCAGTCCGTCTCCTCCTCGTCGAGCAGGGCCATGACGCCGAGGACCTTGACCTGCTTGACCTGGCCCGTGTAGCCGACAAGCTCGCCAATCTCGCAGACGTCGAGCGGGTCGTTGTCGCCCTTGGCCTTGGTCTCGGGGTGCACGACGTTGGGGTCCTCCCACGTCTGGGGGAATGCGCCGTAGTTCCACAGGTAGCCCTTGTGGGGGAAGCAGTTGCGGACGTAGCGGAGCTTGCCCTTCTTGGTGTCCTGCTTGATGGGGTTGAGCGTCTCCTCCTTGGAGATCTAGAGAGAGAGAGGAGGGGTTAGCAGGTTGTCAATGCTGCTGCAACAGGCGCTGCTGGCCGAATGGTAAGCAGGCACGTACCTCCATCTTCGCGTTGGTCCAGCGCGGGATCTCGACAATCATGTTCAGGACCGTCTTCTCGGCGTTGGCATAGAGGGGGATGTCGTGGAAAGGCGAGATGGGTTGGCCATCCTGCTCAATGTACACGCGGTGCTCCAGCGTGTGCTGGGCAGCAATCTTGCGGGTGGTGTAGGCCATGGTGGGTGATGGTTGCGGTGGTGATGCGGCGGGAGTGGAGGAAAAGGAGCGGGAAAGAGAAGGAGAGGAGAAAAAAGGATTCCAAGGAAAAGGAGTCGAAGACGAAATCGCCCGAGACGACAGTAGAGCGGGTTGGAATTGGGCGGGCAGCTGCGAAAATGCGCGAGAAAAAAAAGGTGGGGTTGCGGCCAGGTTGGCGGTGGTGCTGGTGCTTGCTGGCGGGGCTTTTCTTTTGCTGGCGTGTGAGTGGTGCAAGTGGTGCAAGAGGTGCAGGTGGGCGGAAGGGGCGATGGCGTAGGTGTTGGAATTGCCGTGGGCTGGCAGGGCTCTGGCGGTCGGCTCACGGGAAGACGGCTGCTGGTGGCCCTGCGGCTGCGTCCTCTCTTTGCCTTGTTCTTGGACCATCGAGGCCAAGGAGGCCAAGGCCTTATGTGCGATTGCGCGCCGATTAGCCAATCTGGAATTGACGGCTGCCAGTCGACAGCTAGTGCTTGCCAGCTGCTGTCGGCCCGCAGACATATTGAGCTGGAAAGGAGAGAAAGAAAAACGGTAAAAACGAAGGTGCGACTGGCGGTGCAGCTTGCGGTACAGCTTGCGGGGCGACTGACGACGATACGAGGCAAGAATGACCGGTATGCTCTTCTCCCTGCAAACGACGCGAAGATTCCCGACGAGTCGTCTTCAATTCGAGACAGTGGCGGGCGCGGCGCAGAGAACTTAAGGAGAAGATTGACACGGTGGCCGATAGGTGGCGGTCTTTACCGAAAAATAGCGGAAGCAGACTGAGAAATTTACGGCACGCTTTAGCCAACCGATCTAGCCACCTGCGCCAGACGCCGCGCAACCATTACACCAACATAATGTACATATATGAGAGCAATTTCAAAAGAGGATTGTGTAATCATCTGCTCTCTCGACATTGTATTTCACTTTTTTTTTTTACCTTATTGTGATTTATGTACGAGTTTTAAATTTCAAATTTTTTTCATTCATATTTCTCCAATAAAATATAGAAAAGAAAGAAAAAAAGGTCATCAATACCGACGTCCAAATATTCTAATGTTGTGACACAGTATATACTGGGCAATATTATACCAAAGTAGCAAGCAGCAATGAAACCAATACTTGAAAAGACTTCAACGTTTGGTACGTCGCCAGTGCGTATCGTGTAATTTTGGTGAGTAGGAACCGGGCGTTTTCAACCAAAATTAACAGGTGGCACCAACATGCGTAGTTGCCTTGAAGCCCTATCCTTACCTACAATACAATCGTTTCTTTAACATAATTCACGTAGTGCATCTCAATTTGTTCGCAAGAAGCCGTGCCTGCTGGCATGTTCGCTTGTGTTGTTGCAACTGTTTTGGAGCCGCGATGAGGCTAGCGGATCTTGATACCCGGCCGGATCGAGTATACACGAACGATATGACGACGGCGAAATCATGTCTTTGCCATCGATTGTCCGTGTCAGCAATCATCAAACTTGCCTGGCGGCATGCACTGCCAGTCAATTGTCAGTAAGCCCACGCTTCCATATTGATTGGGATCCTCCGACATCACATCTCCACAATGGCCATCCCCGACTCAATGAAGGCCGTGCAGGTCGTCGAGTACAACCAGCCGTACGTGCTCAACACCGTGGCCGTGCCCAAGGACCTCGAACCGCACGACCTGCTCGTCAAGGTCGCCGTCGCCTCCTTCTGCCACACCGACCTCATGGTGTTGGAGGGCAAGTTTGGTGGCACCAAGAAGCCGATCACAGGCTCCCACGAAGGATCCGGAACCGTCGTAGCCATCGGGTCGGCCGTGGCTGCCTCGCGCGAATTCAAAGTGGGCGACCGCGTCATGTGCGGCACGCCGCGCAACACCTGCGGCGCCTGCGGCGAGTGCACGGGGCCCGAGTCCAACCGGCAGTACTGCTCGGCACTGGAGGGCCACTGCGGCGTGCTGTCCGTCGACGGATTCTTTGCAGAATACGCGCGTGTCGATGCGCGCTGGACGACGCTCCTGCCGGACAATGTGTCTTTATTGGCGGCCGCACCGCTGGCGTGCGCAGGGCGGACGGTCTGGCGGGGCCTGCAGCAGGCCATCCAGCACGCTTCCTTGAAGCCCCGGTCGTGGGTCTGTGTGGTCGGCGCCGGCGGTGGCCTCGGTCATATGGCCGTACAGTTTGCCGTGCAATCGGGGATGCGTGTGATTGGCATTGATGCCCGCCCCGAAGGCCTGGCAGCGACGCGTGAGGCCGGTGCCGAACTGGTGCTGGACGCGCGAGACGGAAAAGACGCCAATGTCGCCGCGGTACAAAAAGTGACGGGTGCATTGGCGGGCGGCGTCGACGCTACGCTTCTGGTGGCCGACGTGACGAGCGCAGCTGCCCTTGCGTGTGCCGTGACACGCAAGCACGGCACCGTGGTCGAGCTGGCGCAGCCCGATAGCTTCACAATTCCGTTTGCCGAGCTGATCATGCGCGACATCAAGCTTGTGGGCAGTTGTTTCTGCTCGCCGCAAGAGAGCCGGGACATGGTGGCTTCCATCCAGAAGCACGGCATCGAGCTGCATACGGTACCGTTCCAGGGCCTGGAAAAGATCCACGAATTGGTGGAGCTGGTGCACAGCGGCAAGATCAAGGGCAAGGCGGCGATTGTCGTGGACGATGCGCAGGTGCAGCGCGATGTCACATTGGCAGGCACCTCGAAGTTGTGAGAAAAGAAGACGGGAGACCAGAAACTTACTTGCCAATGCGAGGGATGGAAGATGGGAATATAGTACCACCTCGTCCTTGTGTTATGTTATTACCACATTGCTAAAGAAGCCCGCTCGCCCAAAGGTCGACCAGCCAAGGGAAAACGCCCTGTTAATTATAGGGCCAACTAATCGACCAAGGACTCGTTTGAAATTAGAACTAGAGCTCCTAATGTTACGATTCTGGTCCTATGAGGCCCAAAAGGAGACCCAGGGTGGCAAGGAACGACGGAAAGAATGGACAGCCTAAACAGGTGAACAGCACAAGAGTGGTGCTGGTACACAGGAAGGGACAGTACGAAAGGTGCTGCACATTTGGGGCCAGCACATGCGTGGCCAGTACTACGGGAATGAAGTTTGTGAATGAAGCTGTATGAAGTTCACCAGATATATAAGACTTAGGCTTCCTCCCAGTAAACTAGATACATGACTCAGTCTTTACGGACTGTCTAAAATACAAGCCTACATGAACCTGTATTCCTGTGCCTTCATGGCATACAAATCACCACACCCTCTTATACGTGTTGATTTATCCGTTCGACCGTTACACCTTCTCATCGTTCCTAATAAGAACAAGCCCCTCCCTGGACTGATCACCTAGCAGAGACTATATCCCTTGGGAAGTGACTTTGTAACATCCAGACTTGTTGGCCCTCGCCCCTGGAGAATCCCGTTTCGTCCATGTTCTATCTGTTTTGTGGTAAGCGGAAGGGCGGATAATGGATGGGTTCACTTACCCTTTACACTTTTTTATTTAGTCGTACTTCTTTACCGCCCGATTAACCGCTTAAACCCCTTGCCCACCCGCTTCAGGCCGCGCCGCCTTGCTAGCTCTTCTGTCTCCACTCCCGGACCGGTCCACTCATTTATTACAGAGTCTGCCCTTGTACTCTGTATTCCACTCGAATTCTGGGTAGAAGTTAAAGGGGCGAGATGGTTCTCCACTGATAATAGCCCTAAAGTTTGGACTAAGCCGGCAGGCACCGTGTCTTGCGGCAACGCGCCACCTCTAACCGCTCTCTGCGGATTCTCTATCGCCTTTGCTGCAAGTGCTTCTAAAACGCCTTGCACAAAAGGCTGCTGAACATTGAACATACCCGCCAGCTCCAGGAGGTCGTTAAGCTCGCCCTGCAGTAGACTAAACCCTTTTTCGACCATCATCTCTAGTAAACCCTCGTGCCAGCTTTGGTGTTTATACGTGTGCCACAGACACAGGATGACGCAGAAAAGAGCTGACAAGCGTCGGTATTGCCTGGAACTCAAAAGCAACGGGGCTTTCCAGGAGTCAACCGTCGCGTTAACGTCAGCTCCATGCTGGACGAGGAAGCGAGCATTCCCTAACCAGATTCGAAAGATTTCCTTGTCATCTTTCTCGTGGTAGTCCATCGGGAGCAGCGGCAATTCTCCTAGGTTATAATAACCAATGGTTAAGAATCCTTCCCAGACTGTCCACACAGGGAGAGAGGGTATTGTATATTTCTCGTTCGGGTTCAGCCCCAGCTCAAGGAGCACATGTGTGACATTAGGCAGCGACTGGTACCGTTTCAGTTCGAAATCAAAAAACTGGTTCTTGAAGCTGCAGGGCACCAGTGCGTAGGCCAATAAGGGATATTTTGTTTGAAAGAGCTTCTGGACGATCTTCCCGTTTTTGCTTGCCAGTCGTAAGAAATTGCCCAAGTTGTTTTGGACCGCAACGGCAATAAAGTTCTTGTCACTGAACGTATCAGTCTCAAATGGGTCGTTAACAGCCCAGTGCTCTGACATGTATTCGGTCTTTTGCCTCATAGTCCTGCCTTGCGTAATGGTATGATAGTTGGAGAGCATATCGTCAAAATTTGGAACCCCACTATATCGGCCTTGTTGAGGATGTGTGGTATGGAAATATGTGTCGGCCTGTTTGAAGGAAAACATGGTCTTGTCTATCAGCAAGAGAAGCTCGGCGGTCTGGGCCGCCGACATGAGGTCAGCGGCACGAGCATATTGAAGACACACATGGAGCTTGTACCAGCGGTCGTTAGACGATCTTAGCAAGTTCCGTGCCTTTGAGCACTTCAACATCATAACGGACGCTCGGAGCAACGCGAGAGATCCATCAAAATTGGCAATGTCACTGGTCTGTAGCAGATACTCCCAGTTTCTTCGCTTCTTGACAAACTCCTTTGCAGTCTGATGGATGAAGTCGACGCGCGGTAATGGGTTTTTCCTGTCGCTATTTGTCGTCTTCTCTAGAAGACCTCCGCAGCGACTCAGGAGCCGGTCCATGGTGCGTTTTCTGCGGATATCCGTTTCACTTTGTGGGACAGAGTGTCCTATAGGAGTCGTAAACACGATTTGAGGATCCTCTATTGCAAAGGATAGCACCAGAGGGTCGAGATCTTCTTCAGCGTGCTGCAAGATCTGAAAATATTCGTAGCTTTGTTTGCGATAGGCAACCGGGAGGTTTAGGAGCATGGCCATGTAAAGACCCTTCTTACCCCCAAGCTGCTTCGGCATACTCCGCAGCTTGTGAAGCAGCTCGTCCACAGTATCTCTGTCGCTAAGTCCTCGGATGAGGACATCAAGTACAAGCCGTACCCAGAGAAAGACGCCGTCTGCTTTGGCCAGTATTTCCTTTTCGACATCAAGCGCAAACGAAGGCCGCAAGACGTTTAGCTCCATCAGGCTTTGGTTCCCGTTCAGGCGATCGGTTACATAGGACCGTATGTCGTTGGTAGTCAGAGAGTGTAGCTCCACAGACGGGAACGACGCGAATGTGTCGCGGAATACGAGCAGAGGGCGGCTCGACACACACAGGCGGACATTTTCGAATTGGGAAAGCTTACAGACGAGGTCTGCGATCTCGTGGTGGCCATCCGCGATCATTCTCGCTTGGTCAGAGCTAGGGTCTTCGTCGTCGTCATCGTCGTCGTCGTCATCATATTGGCCGTTCTCGGTTGCCAATAACTTTTCCACCGGCCGATATTCGTCGAGTCCGTCAATGAGCAAGATCACCTCAAATTCGGGAGGCTTTTCTGTCAACACCGCCTGGAGAGCCATATTCAGCTCTTTCCACGACCATTTCTTTTGGTAATTGAAGGTCCGGGTGACTTTCTGCTGCCGGAAAATGGGCTTAGCGAAAAGTTTATTTTGGGAGACGAGGTGATACAAAAGGTGGCGTAAGAGTCCTTCCAGTGATTTTTGAAGGGGATCTTTGCCTCGTTCGAACAGATAGTGCCAGGCGACTAGGATTCTCTTGCCTGGGATCGTGGTGTGGAGGACCGCATCAAGATCTGGGTGTGTGATCAGGAATTTCATCAATGTCGACTTTCCCGACCCTGCCTTGCCGCTGAGCCAAAACATTGGCTCCTCCGTGGAGAGCCATCGTAGGAAAGGAGACGACGGTCCTTCGCGGGAAGAGCCACTCAAATCTATAAACCAGTTGAAAGTCTTCCTATGGGCGGGATCCAACGTATCTTCGCGTAGATCCATGGTCGGAAACTGAAGGCTCAATAAGAGAGCTGATTCTTGGGTGTCAACAACCCAAAACACAAAATGACAGAGAATTTTGCCGGCGAACAAACCTTGTACCATATCTTCGTAGGTCCGTTCCCTAGCTGAGAGAGGATATGTTAATGCACTTTTATTACTTTAGGTTAATGAGTATCCTAGTCTGGGGAAAATCAGGAAATGAATGAAGTGCTCTCTTGACAGCCGTACACCAATTTGGGCCAGGCATACACCATGCAGCTACACTGGTATCTTGAGCAGCATATTTCTTCAAACTTTGTCATATTGGTGCCTAGTCTCTTCACTTGGAGTCTCAGGTGCAGGAGCGAGGCTTGCTTGCGGCGCTCTCAATCCTGGTGTAGGACCAGCTGCCAGATGTTGGCCCGCCGATGGTCGTGCTTGAGAGCAAGACTTACCAAGAGTCCTCTTGATAATGTTGCAAAGCAAGAAAACGACCCGTTTGTACCCTAATTCGTCCTGTGTTGCAAACTTGCACATGTCCATGTGGTTCCTGGGGATCTGTTGGTATTTGACATTGAACCCGTCGATCGTTGCCGACGACTCCGGCACAACCTGCAGCTCTTCTATCAGTATTGGTGATGCGCGAAAGCCATCAGGGCAGTTTATAAAGCACCCACAATTCCCAAAGAGGTTGGAAGTTCTTCAATGACACAAGCGATGTCAAGGTTCTTGCTGATGCTGGCAAAGGATCGCCGTTGTCGCTCCAGGATTGGAGACTCCTTTTCCAGCAAGGAGATCAAATGTTCGTTTGGATTTCGGAGGAACACCTTGGCCACCTTCGCCACAACATGGCCGTATGACGTGAGTTCACTGCCACGATGAGGCGTGCCGAGGAATACGATTCCCTTTGTGCAAGCGTATACCGAGCCCAGTTCTTCATCCTGCCTGTTGAAGAAGTACTCGGACGAACGAATAAGAGCCTCTTTGATGACCAAGCCGCCAAGACTGTGGCCGACAAATACAAGCGGTCTCTCAGCCTCGCCTTTGCTCGCCCGGGACATGCAGATGTCTTGGAGAAGACTTTCGGCGTGGCCAAAAATCGTGGCGTGACTCGCAGCGTGGGTGACATTCGCAACGTTCACATCATAACCCCAGGTGAAGATGCGACATGTTGGGGTGTCAACCTTTAAGAGGTCACGCGGCCAGCAAACCTTGCCTGCCGTTGAGGTTAATGAAGTGTTGTGCTAGAAACGTTCATCTCGGGTACTGTACTGACCAGATGACCATGTATCAATCAGGTTCCCTCTAAGGCCATGCACGAACCAGATGCTGTGGAAAGAGCATTAGCAAGCCTTATCAAGGTGTTGTCTTTTTGTCGTTTTCAGGGGGGAAAAAGGGAGGACTGCAGTTTTACGGACTCACTCTGCATCTGGTGCGTCGCCTCCATTCCAAAGCAGCTGGTAGGCCATTGGTTTTCTTGGGAGACGTTACACGCCTGGCAGTACAGGCAACGAACGTGTGAGTTTTCGGCCGCCGCTATTGGTTTGAAAGTTAGGGAGAAAAAAGCAAGAAAGCAAAGAACAAAATATTGTCCTTGTTATCGAAGTCTTCCTTGCTGTACGCGTGCGGGATATTTCTCGGCCACGCCACTTGCCAGGCAAGCTGGCGAGCTGCGAAAGCGAGAGAGGGCCTGATAGGTGTCAGCCGCACGACCCTGAGGAGATATCCCTTTTATTGGGTATTACCCCGCGGCATTTAAGGTGGCGGTCAATTTCCCAACTTTTATTAGCTTTCGCGTTTCCCCTACTCAGTACATCTTCGTTTTGAATGTTTTTGCTTCTAAAAATATGCCTGGTTTTGCCCGAATCAAAGACGGTCAGAAACAATGGTGACAAGAACCAGGGTAAATTGTTACGAAATGACCCCACGCGGCCTGTCCAGCGGGCCGCGCCACGAGACCAAGAGGCTAGGCATGCCTTAAGGGATATGGAAAAAGGATAAAGCGGAGCCATTGTGGATTCTGACGACTAAGGCTCTAGTGCCTTTGGCATCGAATCCAGCGGCTTCGAGCCCCTAATATTATGATGCTTTATTTCCAGCCACTTCCTGGCCTCGGAAGAACTACAATAATCAAGACGAATAGACATTCTTTTGCTCTGTGAATAGCGCTATTTAGAGCTCTGCGTGAGCTACCTGCCTCTTGAGATCTAGGTGATTTAACCGGCTGCGTCAGCCACCGTTTTATCCCAGGAATTCGGGGCTAGAAGCCACAGCTGCCCGGCGTTAGTCGCATTATCTATCCTCCGTGCCCATTGAGGGGTCGGCTGTGTTGTCCTGGCTTGCTATCAAGGCCCGTGTGGCCATGTTCATAACATCCTACTACTGCATTTAATTACCTCCCCACACCGCCTCGCAAGTGTTGAGTTATTATTCGACCGTTACACCTTCTTACTGTCTTATCAGAACTTAGACTCCCTAGCCTGATCACCTGGCAGAGTCTTTCTCCACCTTGAAAGTGTCTTTGTAACAGTCAGGTTGAAGACGAGGACGTAGCTCAAGGAGCTACAATACGGGATGCAGGCAGAGGTCGGACTAAATACAGGATTCAGGGGCAGGGTGGTGTGCAACGGCACAACAACCTACAAGCAAGACAAGAAAACGATTCGTGTAAAAGACGGTGAAGTAGTAATATCCAGGTATAATGAAGAGATCTCACGGACATACAATATTGCACCAGACTACTGCAAGCCTTCACCCTGTCTCTAGTCGCCAAGCCAATGTAGGAAAGAAACACCACGAGAAATATAAAAAGAATCCACTTCGACTACATAAATAAGCGTCAAATAGTATTCGCATCGTATATAATCACTTTACACAGTCCATCTGTCGGCGCTTTGCCGCTGACCTACCATATCTATCAAAGGGGTCATTGCAGCCATCCAGTTCACAACCGAGTAGTCTTTTGGTATATTTTTACTGCGCGCCTGGAAGTCGATGTCTTCAAACCAGAATTGCGACAGCCGGCCATTCCTGTACGGCTGCGTCTGGGCAAACCGCGCCCAGAAGTCGACCACCTTGCGTGCCTTGTTCCGGTCTACCTTGAACCACTCATCGTGTTTTCCTCCTCCGGTTCGTTTCTAGCACGACTCGCATGGCGGATGTTGCTCGTGGCGATACTTTTGTAGCGTCTTGTGGATAAGGCTCTCAATCCTCTGGGTCGCATAACACTCGATCTTCTGAGTGAAAACTAGAGCGATGTCGTGCTTGCAGTTTGTTTTCCACGTAGCCAGTCGGTATTGGACGGGATCCACCTGAGACTTGCGTGTATCAAAGACGTATCCGATTTTGATGTAACCATCGAGGCCAGGTTGCCGGTACCCGTAGATGTAGCCTTTGCGGCGGTAGTTTTGGGATATGGTCCGAACTATGGTATTGAGAAGTTGTTTGCGTTGTTCGGCGGCCGAGACTTGGGTGACCTTGGTAAATGACGGCTTTGTTTTTCTCGTTGGTTCTCGCGTGATGGAAAGCCGCCCCATTCCAACCACTTCGGTATCCGTGTCCTTATCACTGTCCGTACTGTCTTTTTCATCGGAGCTGGCTTCCGTCTCATCGCCCGAATCAGAGTCCGTCTCATAATCCGAGTCAGAAGACGAGCCATCTTTGGTCGATTCGTATGCCGAGTCCGCGGCCTCATCAGTCTTCTCGAGTGCTTTGTCCCATGTTTTCCTCGTAAACCCAGCCGGTCTGCTTCCACAGTCGTTTAAGCTCAGCCCATGCTCCTGTAGGTAATGCTTCCACATCTTATCACACCATGTCTTGTACAACCGAGGTGCTCGTTTCCGACATTGCTCTCTTTTGCAGATGACGACGTGGCTTAGATCGCTTAACAAGTCTGCCGCAGAAGGAGAAGGTACAGTTGATCCGAGGAGCTGGCTGAGTAGGGCCGCGACGTCCGTCTTGATTGACCCCCCGCATTCTAGACATGTGTCGTAAGGTGACTCAAGGTCGAGAAAGCGGCGGAGCCGCTTCCGCGACTTGAACTTGTAACGGCCGTCGGACAGCAAGAGAGACATGGTAAAATAAAAAGAACAAGAAAAAATTGGACGGACACAATGCGAAAATGGCAAAAGGGAAGTGGGGAAAGCTAAGCCAATTCTTGTACGTTTCTCGAAGGGTGTGGCTACTGCCAACTTTTATCTTTGACCAAGTTCAATATCAGCTGGGTAGATGCCCATTTAGGGATGGAAGGCCGACAGGAGAGCCCATCTTGCGGCCATCGTGAAACGTATGTTATACAGATACAGTACGAATATAGACACCGGCCCTAGTCCTGCTTCTTCGAGAGGCTGCAGAGATCTCTGCCACCCCTCTTTGGACGCGTCTCGAAGTAGCAGCGTTAACACATGAAACCTAGCCAGTCTAAGCCCCTCCGACTTTCCTTAAGGGAAGCAGAGGTGAGGGAGAGATCAAAAGTGCCCATTTTGCAAAAAGAAAAAGAAAAACAGAGGGGAAGGGATGCTACCCAAATTAGGCTTTCGTATGCAAAAATAGAAACTATGTTTGTCTGAATTCAAAAACTGGCGTCCAATCGTTCCAACGAAAATAAAAAAAGAAAAGAAAATGTGACCGCTGGGACCACACCTCCGTGTTTTGTGTGACATCCACGGAGCCTTTCCTAGCAGCGCTATCCGAACATTTAATTCCGGGGGCGAAGTTTTCTGAAGGTTGTTTTCCTGTCGGATCCGACTTGTTTCATAGGGCTGCTACCAAGCCTCTCCTTTTTTTGTTTCATGTTGTGCTTTTTCTGGTCCTTCAACTGTCGCCCATACTGATTCAGAGCCAGGGCCTGCCGCGCCACTGTGTTGACCCTAGCTATGTGGCTCGTGCTGGAACCCCTCCCCCTTTTGTACACTCTCTCGCAACATTAAAGGTCAATTGTGCACAAAGGGCGGTCCAAGAACACAGACGATAGGAACAGTGGGATGAACTCGAGCAGCAAAAATTCCAATGTTTCATTTTTGTTTAGGTCCCACCGGAAAGTCAGAAAAGGGTGCGCTTCCCTCCCAACAAGGCATTCCGCCGGCGCGCAAGCACCTGCACTACGAAGCTTAACTTAACCCTACCCACAATCGTGCATGCTTTGAGACTCTATTCCTCTCTCGGTCGTACGACTTGCCCAGTTGATCTTAGATGGAACATCGTGGACATTGGTGGTGCTGTTGCTCTTAGCCTGCGCCCCTATCTTTTCCCCCGTTTTATCTTTTTCGTCTCCCCTCGTGTTTCATCCTTTCTCTTGGTTTGGTCTTCTCAATCCCCTCTCCTCACCACCAACCGGGCGCCCTCAATTTACATCATGGCAGCCTGGCCGCCACCCGGTCTGACCGCCAAAGATGCCGCGGACTGCAAAAGAGGAGCAGGTTTGTCTCGATCACCAAGCCGCACAGCCGACAGGCCAGCAACAGCAAGAACCCCTGCTCTTCTACAACACGCCGCCGTCATGGCCATTTGGGTCGTCCTCGAAGCGTCCGTTCATTATCTACTATGAGTCCGTCAAATACAGCGACGAAGCCAAAGCATGGCCGAACGGTGACATGTCGTACGCAAAAGGGAAATGGGACGCTATGTCGGCAGATGAGCATGCTGTATACGCAGAGAAGGGCGGGGAAGCAAGAAGGCAGGCCTGGGTCGATTCGTACATGCGTGTACCGACGATAAGATATTAACGGTTTGTGGCACGCATAAAAGGTTACAGAGGCTACAAGTTTAGATAAGCGGTGACGACAAAATTTGTTTTAGTTGTTCGACAGATGACTCCAGAGTAAACAGAACCGCCTCTGCTGCGGCTAACACGCATCAACAAATCCATCCGCATGGGACGATGTTTGAGGGTTATTTCAGGTTCGGACGGAGAATATTTTTACATTTATTCGTCGCCGCAGATTTGGCAAGACCTCCGATGGAAACAGGGCATTGTCAATGAATAAGAGAGAAACCGTTTGAGGTCTTACCTTGAGATTATCTGAATGGATTATGCTGGTGAGTTGGTGATATTGGTTGTAACAGACGTTGATTCTACACACAATACGGCACATCCTATCCTTCATGCCATTTTCTGCAATGACAATGGGCCAATCCTGGAGCCCTCGGTGGGTGGAAATTCCCGTTACATAATGTACAAAACTATCCGATCAACTTCCTTGTCTGATTGATTTGATTTTCTCGCATCACGACAAACACAACCGCTCCTTGGCGCCATGAAAATTATCAGATTCCTGCCCTATTCAGTGGGACCCCTGTGTCCATCGCCTAGAGAGCCTGCCTCTTGGAGGTTCCCTGATGGTCGGCCATGGCACTTGAATGAGACAAGCAGCGAGAAGGACGCACAAATAATCAGCTAAACTAAATAATGTTGTATCTTAGCGACCAAGGATATTTGAGTCCCAATCCCAGACCATCCTAACCGTGACGTTTATTGTCTTGAGTTTATTAAAAGTAGCTCGAGACTGGCAGTCCATGAAGCGGCTACAAGTGGCAGGCTAGGCCCTATCACACTGTTCGCGGAACGATTTTGTGCCATTGACAGCACGGTAGGTACGATTCTTGCATATCTGTTGACTGACATTGATAAAATGATATATGTATATATATGTATTTTTGATTTGTCGCGTGTTGGGAAGAAGAAACAGTGTGGAGGGAAAGGATCACAATCTGGATAATTGGCCACAAAATGCACGAGAGAACGACGGACACAAACAAGGACTAGCTAAACATGCAAACACGGTGAGAACATATCCAAAGCATTGGGATAGAAAGAAGAGAACCAAACCGACAAGGTGGTAGAGAAAGCACGATTTGAAACAAGGTCTTATGTTGCACAGAATGGAAAATAGTGATGCTGCAGGCCTGTCACATTTCTGTTGTGTTGGCATGCATTTTGACGTCCTCTCTTGGAGTATCATGGGTGTTGAGTCCACCATATTGTTAGTAAACGCATAGCGCTGCTGCCACTGTTCAAACCTAGCTCAAAGATGGCCACAGGTAGGAAACTAGCATACCCACTTGATGCCTGTAGAGTCCAAATGGCGAACCCCTCGACCATTGAGCAGTTTAAACGATCGCTAGGTTTGCCATCATGCCCACAACATCGTCAGTCACGGTGACGGGCTCGCCGCTCTTGTGCTGCCAGCTGAAATAGTCGCAAGTTCCGGTTCTGCATACAAAATGCAGCGAACGGGGAATTGACTTCTCTGGACCCGACACTTGTAGTCTGCTCGGACGACGGCAATGACACCATGGGTGGTTGGGGTTGACTCCCCGCTCATCGACGAAGCAGAGAAACTTGTTACACGGTCTGCACTTGTAGTAAGGGCGCCCAGCATTTCTCTTTCGATTGGATTGTCGTGTCACGAAGCGCTCGCTTGGCTCATGGCAAAGGAAGCAAATCGGGGGAGACATGGTGAGGTGACAGCCTATACATCTTGTTAGAATACCGCATCCCCAGAGGCAAGAGCTCAATGGTATCTCAACTTGCAGACTTGTGGACTTCAAATAGGAGTACGACGAGAATATAATCTTAATGTTTGCTAGTTCGTTTGGTTTTCCAGTCCAGTGCAGGAGTGAAGGAAGTTGGTCAAAAGGGAAGGTTAAAAAAGAGAAGAGGGCATGCACTGCCAGATATATGTTGGCAATCGTCAAAATCCCTCGCCAACGTCGGGTCTCAGCGACTCTCGTGAATAATCAAGGCCTACGCTGTGCGTCGAAGACAACTTTGTGCACTTTTTGCCCCGCCTCGCTCTGGGACCACTCTGCCAAAAGGTGCTCGTACGGTCGAGAAAGAGCCGCATCAGCTTTCCCGTCCTTGCTGCCTGGAGTAATGGCGTATCCTGGCAGCGTCAACGGGCCTGCTCAATGGGCCGATGTCACATAAAAGTGCAGAATGGCCACTCTTACGACAGAGCAAATGGGAGACCGGGAAGTTTGTTCGCTCAATTGGGATTGTTTGGATGTCTTTGACTAGTTATGTATGGAAAGTTACTAGTGAGAAAGGATATGGGTAAGAACTTGTTTGCATTAACGTTTCTATGTTTTGGAGCATATCAGGGGTAAAGAAGAACAAAACACCGACAAAAAATCAAAGTACCAGAAACGAAAATTGCACAAGAAAAAAACAAATAAATAAATGTTTACAAGTAGCTGCAAATCAGATGTAACTTTAAATAATTAATCAACGCTGTTTTCTACCTGTAATGTCCGTCATAGTGTGCACGGCCTTTGCCAGCATACACTGCTAATTCAGATTGTGTTGGTTCGTCGTGGAAAGTTATGCCAATGGCGCTAGGCAACAACATTTTGGTACTTTGTTTACTTTTCAACAACCCCGTTTCGAATTCTTTCCCCGCCATTTTTTCTATTTTTCCTGCTTACCATGCACTGCCATATTCACAAAATACAATTCGTTACTGTCTACTCTGACAATGAGATCCATGTCTGTTGTTGCGCGGTGGCGGCCTCTGGAAGACATGGAAAGCGCTCGGGGAGAGCTTACGCGAACGACAACATCCGTTGACAAGGATGGGCTCGCGCTGTCGTCTGTGGCCATCTCTGACCCGACGAACGCAGGCCCAAAAATTCCATCGTGGACGAGCCCGCATGCGTTTCGCCACATCTTCGTGCCAGACGACGACAACCAGTGCGTCTACGACGCCGTCGTTGCGCCCACCCTGCCTCGTGTCCTGGAGGGGGGCCGGGGCAGCTTTTTCGCCTATGGCCATTCCGGCAGCGGCAAGACGCATACCATTATCGGGTACGACGGCAAAACCGAGGCCGGCGTGTGCCTGATGGCTGCAGAGAAGCTGTTTGAGGCGATCGCAGCGCGCAATAACGACACCGGCACCGGCACAAGCGGCGAGCGTCTCGGCATTGGTTTCCGTCTCTTTGAGATGCGCAAACGGTCGGCCTTTGACCTGCTCAACCACCACAAAGAGTGCCACGTCCGCCAAGGCGCCGACGGCAAGGTCCATATTCGCGGCGAGACAGAGATGCTCGCGGACGGCAAAGTACGCGTCTGCCCAATCGTCCAGCGCGTCTGCTGGTCGTTTGACGAGCTGCACCACGGCCTCACCGAGGCCCTGGCCGGCCGCGCCGTCGGCTCGTCGAGCGTGCACGACCAGAGCTCGCGCACCCACGCCATCCTCGAGCTGGAGATTGTCTGCGCGTCGCTCGTCGCGGCGCGCCAGGCGGTGATCGAGCGGCAGTCGGAACTCGTCCCCGTCGGCAAGCGCGCGACGGACATTATGATCGAGGAGCAGGGCAAGGGGATTCTGAGGCTGCCCGGCGGCGGATGGACACGCAATCCCGACTACACGGTCAACCAGGCACGGATTGACGCCGCCGAGGCCGAAAAGAACGAGTACGAAGCGCGCGTTGCGGCAGCCGAGGAGCACGCTGACGCCATCCTTACGGACGACGGCGCAGCCCCGTGCCTGGGCGGCAAGATGGTCTTTGTCGATCTTGCTGGCGCCGAATACCATCATGACAAGACCACTGCGGGCTCGAAACAGCCCATCGTCCGCCAGACACCTCAGGAGCGGCAGGAAGGGCAGCAAATCAACACCGACCTCCTGGCGCTAAAGGAGGTGATGTGTGCATGGTCGGCCGACCAACCTAGGATCCCGTTCCGCTCGTCGACACTGACCATGGTCCTTCGCGAGCATTTCGTGGCGTCCGAGGACAGTGACTCGACCATGATCGTCACTGTGTCTCCATCGAGCGGGCAGTATGCAGCCACTCTCAACTCCCTCAAATACGGCAGTTTGGTCGGAGCCGTCACGCCATGAGCAAAGGGAATGTGAATTGTTCTTTATTCCAGAAAAGAAAGCCAAAATGCAGAGTGTCGTTTATGATGTATCCAGGACAATGCAGATGCCACCACCTTGAATGGTCTTCCAAAAAGCCTTGCTGTTCCAACACGAATGCCGATACATATGCAGAAAATGCAGTGGTGCGACCCAAACTATTGCAAAACAATGAAAATACGGAATGGATGCCTCCCAACTACATCCGTCCAAAATACGCTGTAAATCTCGCAGGACAAAAAGCCAAAATGAAGCACGCTACAACTTCTCCATCAGGTTCCGGCGCGCCGTCCACATGCGTGCCCGCTTGCCGTAAATGTACATGGGTACGGTGCCCATCAGCAAAACCAGCTGGATCACACCGAGCCAGATAAAGACCGACTTGCTGCCCTTGGCGTGCAGCCAGCTGTTGAAGAAGAGGCTAAAGACGAGGCCGTGCAGCACATTCTTGGAAAAGTTGAGCGTCACCAGGGCCTCGCCGGCGTACTGGCGGTACGAGTCGACACAGAACGTGATGGACGTGGTCGAGCCGAGTGAGCAGCCAAACGAAATGACGCCGAAGAAAATGGTAGGGACGATCCACTGGTCACGGACCTCAACCGACCAGCCGTAGCCCATGAGGCCGATGACGGTGGTGACGGCGACGGGGGCGGCCATGACGAGCCGAAACTCGGGCTCGTACAAGCCGCCGTTGCGGCGGGCCATGATGCGCACGATGACGTCGCTGACCTTGCCGGCGACAGCCGTGCCCAGGACACCGCCAACAAAGGGCGAGATGTAGACAAGACCGGCGGCGAGGGCGGAGAAATTGTACGTTTCGGGCGAGCGGTAGATGACGGACACGGATTCCGACAGGACAATGAGCCAGCCAATGGAGCAGGCATAGACAACAGCCGACCAGAGGACGGCCGGGTAGGCGAACAGAACAAACGGCCGCAGGGACACGCGGAACCAGTTGTCGTAGTGGAGGCGGCCGTTCCAAGGGCGCAGCTGCTGGACAAACGTCTGTGCAGGCTTGCCGCGCAGGTCGTGCGTGTATTGGCCGAGCCCTGCCGGGATGACGTCGGTGCCTTGCTGGTGGGAGGGAGACGGAAAATAGCCCGAATCGGCATCTGAATACGCGGGGCTCCGCACATCCACGGGCGTTTGTGGCGAGAGAGCCTCTGCGGGCACCTGGAGGTGGGTCACTGGGGCTGCTTCGGTAATCGTGTCGGGTTCACGCGGCGCGTCTGCATCGGGAACGGAGAACCCGACGTGAAGGTTCTGCGTGTTTCTGTGAGTGAGCTGTGGACGCTGGGGTGTGGGAGTAACCGCGTCTTGCGCAGGCGTGAGAGGTTCATGGTGGTGTGCGTCATGGTGGTGGTCAAAGAGGTTCCGTTTGGACGACTTCCTCGACCGCGAGCGGTCTTTGGGTCGCGGCGTGCGGTCCCAGAATGTCTCGGGGACAAAGAAGAAGAGCAGAAAGAAGCAGGCGCCGACAATGATGGCCAGGACCCAAAACACCCAACGCCAGCCCTTGCTCTGGATGACGGCCGCGCTCGCCAGCGGCGACAGGTTCTTGCCGCCCAGCAGCAGCAGCGTGTAGATGCCCAGGCGGTACGCGCGCTCGTGCAGGAAGAAGATCTCGGCAATGGTGGCGGACGGCAGGCACTCGACGGGGCTGACGGCGATGCCTTGGAAGATGCGGCCCAGCAGCAAGGAGGTGAAGTTGGTGGCCGAGGCACACCAGATGGCCGAGGCGCTGAACATGATGGACGCCAGCAGGTAGACGGGCCGCTTGCCCCACAGGATGGCCGTGGGCGAGAAGAAGACGGAGCCGACACCGAGGCCCATCATGTAGAGGCCGGTGGTGAGGGCGACCTGTTCGGTGGAGACATGAAACGTGGCAGAAATGTCGTTGAAACCGGCGGCCAGGATGGGCGTCATGCCGCCGCCGAGCATGCAGTAGAAGCCCAGAGACAGCAGAGCGGCGTCGCGTCGCCACGTGGGCCAGTTCAGGGGGTCGTTTTGGGACTCTTCGGGCTGCGGGTCGAGGATGATGGCGCCGTTCTTGGTTTCCTTGGTCTTCTTGGCGGGAGCGATCACGCGGGCGGATTGGCGGGACGAGCGGCGGCTGCCCAGGCTCGGACGGGTTCGGGCGCGGCTGCTCGACCGGCTGTTTGGTCGGCTCCGGATGGGTGACTGGGCCGGCAGGGACGAGTGGGATGTTCGTGCAGGGGCGTTGTGCAGACCCAGCGGCTCGTTTCGGTAGCCGGTCAGAAGCAGAACGGAGCCTACAATGTCAGCGGACGTCTGGAATTTGAGACATTTCGGTGCAGAGAGGAGCAGACAAACCTGGCACTTCGTGCGTCCTGGGATCGTTCAGCACGCCCATGCTCCACTTCGTGGGCCGCCCTCTGCCTCCTTCGATGTCATCTTCGGTGTCATTGTCGGGAGGTGTACTGGTGGTACTCTTTCTCACTCCCCATGGCCACAGCCGGCCTATGCGGCCGGATGCCTTCTCGTCGTTCATCTCGCCATTGCTGTTGTTGTTGGTTCTGTTGCTCGCGCTGTTGTCGTTGTCCGTTTTGACAGTGCTAGCTGTGTCGTTGGACATGCTTGCTCCCGAAACTGGGGCGATCAAGAAACAAGACTGGATGACTCGATCTGCTCTGGAAGAGTGGGATGGAAAGGCAAATGTCGAAGAAGCGAGCCGAACGAAGAAACGCCGACAGAACAAAGGAAAGCCCCGACGCGAATGAACAAAGGATCTTTAAAGAGGCAGCATCGCCGCCAAAACAGGGAATGCCGGAAGCGTCAAGAACGCGTGTAGGACGTTGGTGGTTTTCAGGGTCTGCGAATTCAGGGTCATCCAGGGCCGATTGGGGGTGGTTTGGGGTGATTTGGAGCGATTGGGGGCGATTGGGGTGAGCGGTCGGGGTGGGTTCACAGGTGCTGCAGCAATAGCAACGATGACGAAATTGTGCAGGGCTCGGCGCTGGGCGAAGCAGTCAGATGATGGCCGGGCGAGACACAAGAGCCCACCAAAACAAAGATCGCTGAGCCAAGGAGCGACGCGTGATGGAGGGGCAGCGGGAGAAGGAATGCAAAAACGTGGATGCGGACAGGTCGGCATGTGAGATGAAAAAGGGAGAATCTGAAGAAGATGGAGGGATTCTCAGACAACAATAAACGAGCACAACAAAAACCAGGGAAAGCGTACATGACGGCAAGGGCGATCCTGCTGAGGCCGCGCCAGGCGCGCTGCCAAGCTTGGCAGGAGCTAAAATACGAGCATGTGCGGGACTTGCACGTGATGCAGATGCGGTTTGAATAGCGACATGGCAGGTATTTAAAGGGTAGTTTGATATTTGGCGACGTAGGGAGTTGGCGGTGAGAGCACCAACAACATCTTTGGAACACAAGGCTGTAGGATCTGGCCAGAGGATCGACACGCTAGATTTGATCAGCCACGGGTGCCCAATTGGCCCAAACAGCAGCGTGATGAAACGGGGATTGCCCAAACCAGAAGATCAAATGCACGTTCTCCAAGGCCAAACCGGCTGTGACTGTTTACAAGTTATTCGTATGGGTGGCCAGAGGGCCACTCACACTATCCAGACTCCAGGAGCAGTCGACCGTCAGCCGGTGCTGCGAATGGTGGGGGCGTTCGGGAGCCTGGCTGCCAGGCCTGGCTAGGCCAGTCACTAAATATTCCGCCTCAACACCCAATCACGATACGGCATAAAACCGGATTGCAACCTCGCATTCTGCAGCCGATATGCTTTCCAGGCCAGTTCGGTATTCTCGAGATCAAAACCCGATTTTGGATCGTTGGAGGCCGATTCACCATCTCTCGCGAACCGACGGCCCCGTCAGATCGGCCGTTCTGGAGTGATGGCGCTGGCGAGTTCTTTGCTGTGTCCGAACCCGCAAGCCAGCAGGCGCTGCAAGGTCGCCCACTGTCCCCCGAGAGCCCGATTGCACTCGTGAACGACGTAGGCGGCGTCAATGCGGCTTGGCGGATCGGCGAGGCCTTTTTGAAAGTGCAGACGAATTTTTACCGCGCCAGAACCCGCGAACATACAACGCTGGACTACATCCACAACCCTTCCAACGGCGTTGCGCTGTCCGCCTCGACACCGCGCGTCTTGTATCACAACGAATTTGACGAGCGGTACTATCTGATCACAATGCGGTTCCGGGAGAGACGTTGGAGAGGGCATGGCCGGCGATGGACGAGGCGGCCAAGCGGGCATGTGTCGACCAAGTCGTGGACACCTTTTGCGTGTGCGCGGCTATGAACTTCAAATTCGCCAACGGGGACGGTGAGAGAAGCAAGGACTGGAGACAGCGGGTCCAGCTTCGGTTGGCCGAGGAGGGCTTTCTGGAGGTTGGACGTGCTTGGCGTGCTCGTCATTGGGTTGACTTCAACACTCAGTGCTCCGAAGAGGAATGACATGCAGTGGCATTGCCAATTATTTAAGAGACTGATTTAAAAAACGTAAAACATAAAACATACGTCCTCGTTGTCCTAGTCGTACTCGTCGTACACGTCGTCTTCACTGTCGTCTTTTCAATCGTCTTCTCTCTCTTCCCTCTGGTCGTACTGTGCTGCTGGCGCTTCGTACACCTCGATCCTGGCGATGAGTAAGGCGGACGTCCAGGTCAGGTCATCAAAAGGAGCTGTCATTAAGCCAACGTGATTGACCAGTGCGATGAAACAAGATTTGGAGCGCAGGAGCATGCAACCTGTGCCGACAAAAAGGGGGGCTGAGAGTTTGCCAGTTCGAGGACTGGCAACGTATACGACTCCGCATTCTGTACATTTTTGTGTGTCACTTATCACACAACCAATTCGAATCATCCCATAATTACTTGTCACTTGTCGGCAAACCTCGCGTGATGATTATTTAGGCGCGAGGCATTATTTTCCGTTCCGAGTCACAACACCAACCGACCTGTTGTTTATCTAAAATAGGGGTAATTACATACAGTGTTAAGTGCACAGCGGATACAGTGTGATGCGGATTTGGAGTCTGAAGAAACGACTGATCATACCGCACCCAGCTGAATCAAGAATCAAGACGTCAGGTACGGACAGTGTCTAGGTATATAAGACAGCTCCTGGCCGGCATCACCAACCAATTTGACTCTCCATCGTCGTCTTGCTCAAAATGACCGACCAAGTAAGTCATCGCCACACCACTAGATTGGTACTGATATGTCAAACAGCTCGCTGATCACGCATAGAGCACCCCTAACGAAATCTCCGCTCGCGCGGCCATGAGCTCCTTGAAGCGAGATCCAATGGGCCTGTACGACCTTGGAAGCGACGGTGTGTTGCGATCCTTCGATGGACCATACAAGCATAATGTCATCGACGCTGTTGGCCTCAGCCCTACACAGATCAAGGAGCTTCTCGATGCGAGGGAGTGGTCACAAGAGGTGGAGGACAAATTTCGAGGCGTTGATGGGAGGCGAGTGACAGATCCGAAGGCGTTGTTCGAGTGCCCGGAAGACTCGAAGCCCAAAGAACATACAGAAGAGAGTTTGAAAACAGCCCTGGCTGAGACAGCGGAAAAGAACAAGAAGCTGCTTGAGCAAATTGCGAAGGATGAAAGGGACGGCGTTGATATTGCTATGAAGTATGCATGTGGGAGGGCTGTGAGTAACTATGATTTGAGCCCTAAAGTTTCCAAGTAAATAGAAATTTCACGCATACGGGGCTGATTACTCTTTGTCCTTCGTTTCATATGTAAATACGTAGGGAAGGTCGACGTTTGCGATTGTGTGCATTCCTTGATACAATTTGAATGCAACCAAGTCAAAGAATAAAAATTGAACATCATACTTGCGTCGATCGATCATCTCGCTAGAAGACCTGTTTGAATATGCCTCTTGGCGCCATACCATGGTCTTTTATTAATCTTGTATCAGCATAAATATATTGGTAGTTGCACCTGACGGGACATTCGCTATGGTTGTGTGGATATAGGGTGCATTGTTGAAACGCACGATTCTAATACGTTACTCATTAATCGTCCTAAGACGGATAGCATTTCCCAGCTCGTTATACGTCCTGCAGACGGGCCATTTCTTTGCGGACCATGCCAATATCGAGGCGCGTTGAAGGGTTCAGGTCCAGCATACCGTCAACCACCATGTTAAGCATGCCTCTCTCTGCATACTGTGTGGACTGATCCTGGCCGCGGTACGCAACCACCTGGTACAACGCTTTTTTGAAGTGCCTGTCCTCCTGTGCAATGACACAGGATCGCATCTGGCTGGTGTAGCTGTTGTTCAAGTCCTTGACCGCCTGCCAGCCACCGCTCGCCGTGGTCAGCATCCACGAATAGCAGCAGCCCAGCTGCCAAATGTCAGACTTAAGCGAGCTCTCTTGGTGGTCGAGTTGTTCAGGTGACAGGAACTCGCGCGTGCTGTTCGTGAAGAGTGTCGCAGCGCCTGTCCGCCAGGTTTTGCTAAGACCCATGTCTGTAATCAAGGGCAGGATGCGCTGCCCATCAGCCGCGTACTGCAGCAAGATGTTGTCGGGCTTCAGGTCCTTGTGCTTGATGGACAGCCCGTGCAGGTAGGCCAGCCCATCTGCGAGCCCGCGCATCAGGCGGTAGACGCATTGGAGGGTGCTCTCTGTGCCGGCCGTAAACCATGGGAACTTTGCTGTCCGACGCTCGTCGGAGTTGTCTATTAGGTCGTCCAGGGTGACGGGAACCCACGGCGTTATGACCACGTACATCATGCCGGGAATCGTGGCCACCTCGTACGCCTCGACGAGCTTGACAATATTGCGGTGCATGCACAGCTCCAGAATCCCAATTTCGTGTAGGATGGACTGCCGTACGTTTTCTCCATCTACTTTTCGAAACACCTTGACCGCACATGTATCTCCACTTGTACGATCCACCACTTTATGGACGGTGCCAAAGCTGCCGGACCTAGGCACTGTCGCAATGTCAAATCGATAAGGGGGATCGTTCTCGGTGGCGTACATATGTACATATCGAGGCTGCAGTTGAGACAAGGCTTGCTGGTTCAGCGCGAGGAAATTATCACTGAGGACAATGAACGTTAGCAAAATGTTCGTCAATAGTGCCTGTGACCAGGTAGGTGACGGGGGCAGGGGGCAAAGACATACCTGAAGGCTTGAAACGACGCCGTATGGTCCTCAGGATTGGGAAACTCAAACAAACGTCGCATGTCCTCGAGGTGTACTCGACGGAGGGACTCGCTGTCAGCTTCTGCTGGCCAATTTCCCAACAAGAAGACGGACGCAAAAATGGCATGCAACTCTTCGTTCTCATCTCCTGTTCGATTCCGTAGAGTAAAGTCCACCATCACGATGGCTTGGACCATTTCCGCAGAGCACGAAGAGATGCGTGTGCTCAACTCGTCGGCGTGCACAAGTGGTTCGTCATCGTCGATCTCGGTCTGTCGAAAGGGAATCGCAAAGATCCGCCAAGCCAGGCCATTTCCCGCCGTCTTCAAAGACAAGATTACCTTCCGGGACAGCCTGGTGAGGGGAGAGTCGGAGAACGTGGAGACACGGCCTGCAAGGTGATGACAGGTAACCAGTATCTGTTCCGCATAGAAGATGAGCTCGCTGTATTTGGACATAACCTGGGTTGTTTCCATGGTGCGGGTTTGGATGCGGAGAGCTGATTTTGCTTGGTTGGCCAGAAGTAGGGTGGCTAGCTGCGGGCAGCGTCGTGAAGGACAGCATGTGTTGTGCGTCGTAAGTTGTCTCATTGGAGTGTATGACGAGGCGGACGAAAGTGCAAAATTTGACAGCGATTGTCAGACAAGCACAACGCAATACAAACCCTTCATTTCAGCTGGCGGTAAATTTTTCTGCAGAGCCTATCACTCTTGCGTGATTGGGTTCATCTGAGCCACTGAGCAAAAATGTGATGACTTTTTTGTGGCGTAGAACCCTCAGGGGTTACGCGTGCTCATCTCTGTTGGAAATTCGACTGCCTGAGACAGGTTTTGGATGCCTCAGAGCTAGCACCAAATGTAAACACCCTGGCCGAACAAAGCCTTGCAGTAAGTACACCACTCTTAGTGGCCGTTCGCCATTCCACTCCCGCTCTGTCTCGAGGCTAATTTTCAAGCCTCGGCCCTTGCCGAGCTAGAAATGCCGGAGTAATTACAGGGTACATTAGGTTAGGCAGGTATGTTGTACAGTAACATTGTTATAGGGCAAGCCAATAGTGGACGAGGACAAAACACGACTAAGGCTGGGAGGGCAGAAGACCCAGCTGGGTTGTGTGCGTTGTCTACGCCAACGTCAGACTCATTACCCTTCATTACTGGATAAAGCCGTTTGCTATTTATATCTATCGAAGATCGAGAGGTCGTGTTTCTGCAAAGACATGACTTTAAAACCTTACTTCAATAAGCTAACAGGCGTGACAAATGCCAACTGTGTCCTACATGGCCCTTGAAAATTCGACAACCTGAATCAGTGTGTCGTGTATCGTTTATTTTGTCCTAGATGATAGCACGGCCGTCTCTTCAACATGCATTTTTTTTTTTCAACTAGTCGCGAGCGGAAGCACACTGAAGATATGCCTGCGAGAATATTGAAGTATCAGGAAGCATGTAGTGTGGCAGTCACGGTGTATACGGAAACATCATTACGCTTTACAAAATATCAGAAAATATCGGCTCCATGGCAGACCTTCAATTGTATTTCACTAAAAGTACAGTGGCAGGGACAGGTCACAAGGTGAGTGATACCGCGATCTTCATTTAGAGTGACAAAACTTTCGTTTGTCGCAATATAAATTATTACTAATAACACTTCAAAGTACAAACCGGCTAAAGCGTGCGATTCCAGATCGTAGCCAGATTAAAACAAACGAGAAAGACATCATCAGCTTCAAGAAATTATAACTCGCCCACCATCATGTTCTTGTTCCGTGGCATCGACCACGACGACTTGTTCCAGCGCGGCCACTGGCTCGTGAGGCCCAGCCAAACCGTCTGACGTAGATAACCCGACCGAGCTTTCGGTCGTAGACACTGTAGCCGGGTCTTCCGCAACTACCGGGGCCTCGGGTTTTTCGTTGGCGTCGACGGGACGGCACAAGAGGCATCCAAGCACTTCGAGGAGAGCATTCTCTTGGTCGCGAAAGCATTTGGGGGCCGCACCGGTCATCACTGCCCATGCAAGGTCAATCAGCCGACCGCGCACGGCGTCGTCGGTGACCGCCGCCAGGCTCTCCGCACGGATCGTCACCGTGTCACTGGCGGTGTCGACGAGCGCCGCTGTGAGCGCACACACCTGCGCGTCTGCGAGCACACGCAGGCAGAACGCCTCAAAGAGCCGGTTGCGGACGATGAACTCGACGACGCAGGATATAGAGTCGGGCTTGGCGACCAGCCCGGCGAAGGGGTCGGACGACCGGGGCTGGCGCCATCGCCGGCGGGACGCATCAACAAACGCCAGCTCCGCCACGGTGCTTTCCTCGTCAAAGGAAACGACGGCGTGCTGCTGTGCGGCCAGCGGGCGCTGGTAGCCGATTCGGTGTCGCCAAATGTAGTTGGCCAAGACGGACGACGCGATGCACGGGATCAGGACGACGTACCCCCACCACATGGTGGCGGTGACCAGGGATGCGGCGCCGGCCACGACACCCGTGACGCCATTGAGTGCGCTGTGGAGCTGGACGCGGGCGACGCGGGCCTGGAGCATCTGCTCGATCCGGCCGCCGGCCAGGCCGGTCGTTGTCGTCGTCGTCGTCGACGTCGCCCCGGCTCGGCGGTGCCGGTGCGCCCGCCGCCAGACAAAGAGGGACCAGAACAGGTTGGCCAGGCCGTACAGCGCGCACGGCGCGTTGCCCACGTAGCCGGACAGGAGGTTACTGGCGAAAAAGACGTTTCGGTTGGCGCCGCCAATGGCCATAAAGGTGCCGACGCCGACGGTCAGTGCGCCAAAGCCCATGCACACGTCCATGCCGAGGCGGTCGACGAGCTCCGTGCCCGTCTCCCGGAAGTTGACGTCCAGCAAGCACGCCAGCGTGCGAACCATGGCCTTGTCCTTAACGTCGCCGTGCTGGCGCCGCGCGTCCCCCAACGCCTGGTGCAGGTGGCGCCGCTCGGCCCGCAGACCGCAGACGTTCGCCCAGCTCAGGCGGGCGTCTTGGACGGCAAAATAGAGAATGCCGAGCGCCACCGACGCGCCCAGCGCCATCAGCACGATGGCGTGCACGGGTACGGGTATTTCGTTCCAGACATTGGCGGCGAAGTCGCCCGCGTTGGCCAGCTCCAGAAACCCCACGCCAGCGAGCAGGCTGTTTCGGAGCTTGGTCGGCCGCTCCGGGCGATACAGACCGTCGCCACCGGTTTGTTTGACAAACGTAAGACATCCCGACGGCGTCTCGGACAAGGGCCGGTCGACTGCTCGGTCCGTCAACTCCTGTGCGATGGGCAGCGGATCTGGTTTTTCGGCCGGAACCGTCTCGATTGGTGGCGCCATGGCTCCAACGGCTGTGCTCTCGCGGAGTGGACCGAGAACGGTGGACGGAAGATGTGATTGAATTTCGTACAGCGACCAGTTAAGCCGCCGCCATTTTAGTGGGATCGAGGCGTTATGGGAAGAGGATCAAGGACGATGGGTCAAGGACGATGGCTCGAGCAAGACGACTGAAGATATGGAGGACAGAATGCGAGAAAACGCGGTTTGGGCCCGTGCCGACGGTTTGGTGAAAGTAGAACCCACTGCAAAGGCCATTGGGAGTTGTACGGATTGTTCCGCTCGAGTCTATGTTGCATGGGGCCCATCAGCCCTGTCGACGTGAGTCTAGACCTTAGGGCGGCGCCACACAGACACGAACTCCAACGGTGGCACCCAAAGCATTTAATCAAAACCGGGGCGTGCTTTCTTTACGAGAAAACTAGCGGCACCGTTACGGGAGTTACCCACTGCCGTAAAACAAAGTTGTCTTGGCGCATGTCTTGGCATGTGCATCTCGCATTCACACATTCTCACGTTCTCACATGCAAACCGGTCGCCCGGTTCGTCGCTGGGCTACGACGGCTTCAGTAGGGACCGTATTTCGACTGCCTGTTACGGGACAAACCAGGGACGGCGGTCGACATAAGTCCTGACAAAAAAGGGGATGATATAATTAAAGGGGGGAAACGCAAGAAAAAACTAGAAGAAAAAACTAGAAGAAAAAACTAGAACGGAAAAATGGAAATAGAAAAAGCACAAGTCGAAGAAGAAGACCTGCATATTTGCCCAGAGTGCGTCCACTACCGATGCGTCGAGACTTTACGCCTTTCGTGTCCAGCGGCCACAATTGGTCATACCTGATGGGGTCTCGCCGGCAGGGCATCCATTTTCATTGTCGTATCGCTCCAGTCTCGTCTCTCGCAACGTCGCACCGCCAGCTTGAAAAAACACGTCCCCATCGTGATGAACTGTACTCGCGCAAATCATCGGTGCATTCATGGTTGGCCGCGGATCGACGTTGCTTTTGTGCCCAAAAACACACCACAACTTTGTTCAACTGCTTTTGGCACAAAGACACCATTTCTCCGGCTAGGCCGTTACACGTTACACCTGTTGGTTTGGTCGCTCCATGCCATCAAGGTTCTAGACTACTACGGGTGGCGCGCTTCTGGCTTTATTCTCGGGCTGCCAGCGGCGCTTTCATCTCTGGTGATTTTCCTTCTTGTAAACGAATACATTTCCCATGAGTCCGAGCCGTATTTATTCCACTTTGCGGACGATGCTTGTCTTCAATGCAGGCACCCTCGCTACGCGGTACTTCCAATCGCGTTTCTTTGTTATGAGTCATTTAAAAGCTTTGTTTCTTTAGCCCCTTCTTTTTGTCGTTTAGCCACTTTCTTCAGGTTTCGTACGATGCGTTTTCACGCGGAATGGTGCTTCACGATAGGCACCCAATAGCCCTTGCGAAATCCGGTGCCCGGCATGTTTGTCGGAAAAGTTTGATCTTGGGCGCAGGCTGGATAACAGGGCGACGAAAATTTATAGTAATAGAAAAACGCTGTATATATTAACGTTGTTCGCGATGTGACGATTTCCATGTCTACTTGTTCTTTTTCTTTCTCGTTTTCTTCTTTTCTTATTGTTCCGTTTTCACCCAGCAGACACTCTGTCAACTCTATTCCGCACTCTCCTTGTCCCACACGTTGTATCGTCTTTGCCGTCCGAGCAGAGAGCGTCACCGACACAAACATTGCCGCATCCTCCGCAACGCTGGCATCCTTCAAGCCACACGCACGGCCAAGCTGCCACGGCCACCAAAGCCTCCCGGCAGTCGAGATCTGGCCACCATAAGGACCACAAGGCGTACACTGGCCTTTGTTGATCCATGTCCATAAGCTATGGGCAGCGAATCGCATCATCTTCGCGACCATGTTCACGTTCAAGCAATTCCTGGCTGTCCTCCGCGCCCCCGGAGCCAAGGGCGCCATTGAGGCAGCCGCACCGACGCAGCGCGTCCTCTCCCACGACGGGGGCGAAAAGACGAGCTCGCACACCGCGTCGGGCCCCGCAGAGAATGTCACCGGGTTCACCCCGCTGACCAAGAGACGGCGCCTGGATCGATGGTTGGACCGGGTCGTGCAGCTCTCTGGCTCGCAGGCCGCGTTTGTCTTCA